GGGCGCCTGCACTCCCAGCTACTTGGGAGGCTGAGGCAGGAGAATGGCGTAAACCCGGGAGGGGGAGCTTGCAGTGAGCTGAGATCCGGCCACTGCACTCCAGCCTGGGCGACAGAGCGAGACTCCGTCTCAAAAAAATAAATAAATAAATAAAAAATAAATAAAATAAAATAAAATAAAATGAAAACTGGAGCTTTTCCTACTATATTTTAGCCAAGAAGCATACAACTGGGAGCCATCCTCTAATTACAAGGTCCTGACTGAGAAGAGAGTCTACAGAAAGTAGAGGTAAGAGAGAAACAGAAAACAAAACAAAACAAAACAACAAAATCTTGACTTTGATTATAAAATTTGTGTCCTATATCTAGTTATTTTGAAGTTAAACTTACCTTTAGATTGCTGTCAATAAAAAAAATAATTTTTAGTTATTTTTACGATTAAATTTATTTATGTATTAAATATTTATTAAAATTTTGATCCCTCAATTATTACTGTCAATAATAAACAGAAGGAAAGAACCAATGAAAAAAGGATTTCAATTAATTTATTAAGTTAGAAAGCAGATAAAGAAGGAACGATGACTGATCAGTCAGCAGAGACAGCCATAATCTACTGTTTGCATGGAAGAGAACAGAGCCAAGAAAGGAACCAAAGTAGGCCACACTATCCTGAACTCCAGGAATAACAAATATGAGATGTGGGGTTGTGAAAATTCTAGAGTCAAAAGCATTCACAGTCAGCTTTCCTCTTGTATTATTCTTGGATATGAAAAGGCAACCAAAACATTAAAGAAAAGTCTATGACATGAAAGAGAAGAAAACTAAGAAAAAAAAATCTCAAAGAAAACATCAGTATCAGCCGGGAGCGGTGGCTCACGCCTGTAATCCCAACACTTTGGGAGGCCAAGGCGGACGGACCACCTGAGGTTGGGAGTTTGAGACCAGCCTGACCAACATGGATAAACCCCATCTCTACTAAAAATACAAAATTAGCCAGGTGTGGTGGCACATGTCTGTAATCCCAGCTACTCGGGATGCTGAGGCAGGAGAATTGCTTGAACCCGGGAGGCGGAGGTTGTGGTGAGCCAAGATTGTGCCATTGCACTCTAGCCTGGGTGACAAGAGCGAAACTCTGTCTCAAATAAAAAAAAAAAGAAAGAAAACACCAATATTTCAGGAAACGAAAGATAGTATTTAAAATCTCTGTTTGTATTTTAAGAGGATATAGGGATGTTACATCTATAGAAAGAAAAATAAGTTGTTATTAAAAAACAATGGACAAACAAGAAAAGTTCTTGACTACTGAAAATATGATGGCTAAAATTTAAAAAATTTAGCAAGAAAGTAGGGAAATTTAAAAAGGAAATCTCACAGAATGTACCACAAAAAGACACTGAGATAGAAAATACATTTAAAAAAAGAGAGACATGAAGATTCACTCTAGAAGGTTTCATGTCTGACTAGTGAGAGTGTCAGCAAAAGGGAACAGAGAAAATCAAAAGGAACAAATTATCAAACAACTAGTGGAAGAACCATCCTTACACTGCAATTCTATTGGCTTTGCAATATGTTGTGTATCAGATTTGACATCAAGTTTTCTCCCGTCAAAAAAATAAAAATGGCTATGGCAGTTTTAGGTCTCACATCCACACATCTCTCTGCACAGAAGGAGAAGAGCTTATCTTCTGCCAACTACCCAACATTCTAGGCTTCATTCTATTAGGACAAACATAGGTTAACAAAACCACCTCTGATCCAATCACAGTGGCCAGAAGAATGCCATGTTCTGACTGGCTATCACCTGGATTACATGCCTATGCCCAAACCATCAATCAGAGACAGAGGACAAGGGATGTGTCACTACTCAATAGGGATTTAGGGAAGGGATGCAGGAGAAACAACACTCAATACAGCATTAGTGTGATATTTCAGTACACCATGCATGAAGACACATCATAAAAGTTAACAGAGAAGAAAAACAGACCAACTAAAAGGGAACAACAATCACACCAGTATCTGCAAAAGGATAGAGAACCATGGGGCAATGCTGTCTATGATTTGAGGGAAAAATGACTTTCAACTTAAAGTCCTAAATTCAACCAAATCAATAAAATATGAGGGCAGAACAGGAACATTTTCAAAATGGAAAGATTCCAAAGTCCTCTAAGGCAGTATCTTAAATATAGATTATACTGAAACTAAGGAATAAATCAAGAAAAAGGAAGACATCAGATCCAGAAAGTAGCTCCAACCCAATAGAACAGAAAGAATATAATCCATACGTATATTTCCTATAGAGATATAGTGCTTATATGTATCTTTCTGTAACTATTACACTGCTCGTGTGACTTAAAACAGACAGAATTGGAAATTACTATATTTTCAGGAAAAATACAGTTATCTATTAAACTAAACTAGATAACTGAAGTTACATTTTAACAGTAAAGAAATTCTAAAGAATAAAAGATTAGCCACATGAAAAATATTTTGCAAACCTTGAGATACATACCTCTAGCTGTCAGAGTCACCTGATAATTTATGAGACAAAGGCTTATTACATTTCTATTAGGTGTCATAATTTCTACAAAATAGTTATGAAACTTGTAACTCTCTAAGTTCTTCCAAGTCTTTCCTACTTCTTTTCAGCAATTAGTAAATTAAACTCTTTGCAAAAAGGAACATCTATTCAAAAATTAGTTTTAATATTTGTGGGGAAAATGTTACAAAAACAAGACTTACATGTGAAAGCTGCAAAGCTGTAACTGGTGAAATAAATGAAATAAATCTAAATGATTTCCATACTCCATTAATATTCAAAGGATTAAAAAATGCAGTTCTTTCTTTTTCTTAGAACAAGTAAAGACTAACTTGAAAAATTATAGCTTTTCTAGATTCGTTTTTTCCATAATTACTCAGTTATTCATCAGAATATGTAAGACCTCTATTGGAATCTTTGCAACAGTGTTTCATAAATGAATTTAACTATAAAAGCCTAGTTATACAATCACTTCCATAAAAGCAATATATTTCTGATATTTATGTCCTTAAAATATCCTATAGTAAAATTAATATTTCTACACAGGAAAAGAAGGAACTATTTAGTCCCAGACAACTTGATAACATATCTTTCAACTATAATTATCATGTACAAACTTCCAAAGCATAAGTTGTCAAGATTTTAACATTAGCATTAATTTATGTCATAACTGATGGTTACCATAAAGATAATAATGGCAAAGCATCCATTTCTCCAAAGACAGCATGGATGGAAAGGAAAATTTCTTCTTAATTATTGCTAATCTGTCCATTTTTAATTAAATTTATTATTAATAGTAACTTATTATCTCTCTCTCTCTTGCAGGGCTGTTATCACAGAGTTTCTCCAAAGTGATCAAGCTTGTGATTTTTAAGCAAGCCAATTACTTCAGTGTGAGTCTCATCATTTTATAATATTGGTTTATATAAAAACGTAATGCCCAAATTCTTTGTACTATGAGAAAGAAATTTTGAAAATGCAGGATTTGCACTCAGTATTTCACACTTCAACGTGAACACTGTCAAGATCATAATTGCACCCTTTTGGAGATATGACCACTAAAAGTAGGATTCTTTAAGCCTTCTACCTTGTTTGATAATGAAAATGTTTATCAGCATGTATCTTTCCAAAGGGAAGAAAGCAGATCTCTGTGATTTCCTTTCAAAAGTATCTACTTCTTATGCCATCCATAACTAAGCAGAAAATTTTGGTACTCCTCTAAGAGTTTTTCCTATCAGTTTCTTTTTAGAATAAAAATAAAAATGTTCTGACATACAAAATAAGAACTATTGTAGTCAAATTTTAAAAGAATTTCAGTGCTTCATATATTTTTCAAATCAAGAGCCTTAATTAACTTTTGATTTGTATGAAAGTCAAAGTATGTCGTTTAAGTAGCTACTTGAAACTAGAAAATTTTCATAACAGAGGTTCATGAGATAACTTCTGAAAAAACTGAACTTCTCTCAAGAGTGAGAAAGTGAAATGCAATGTCCCTTTGTAAAGGAAGGGACAGAAATCTTTCCTTCCCCTTGCGAAAAATAGTAAGACATCAAGAAATACTGGCTTGAATATACTACTTCATCAAATCTGCCTTATAGGAATCGATTGTAACTGAATAAAAATTCATACTTAGAAGAATACTGAACTGTATTCAAATAGTTGGCTATCAATAAAAATGAAAAGATAATTGCTTAATATAAAATCATCCTTATTAATTACCATTTACTGAGTATAGTAACTATTAGATATATGAGCCCAAATATACCCTCCTAGAAATTAATGAGTGCAAAATGGCTGCCAAACTCTTACATACTGTGACTTATACATTAAATTCATACCTGTTCCAACAGATTTAAGCAAGCTTCAATCTCTCATTTTTTTTATGTCTACTTGTTAGCTTATCAGAAATGTCTTGCTTGACCACCATATGTAGCACTACCTCCACAGCTATGTCCTGCCATCATGTGCTATCTGATTCTGCCTCATTTTTCTTCATAGTACTGTTCACTATCAAGCATGTTATTTGTTTATTGCCTGTCCTCTTCCACTAGAAAGTGAGCTCCATTAGCACAGGCCTTTAACTTATATGTTCACTGTTCTATCCCCAGTGTCTGGCACTATATGCCAGGCATATAGTAGACATTCAAAAAATATTTGTTAATAAAGAAATTAAATGGCCATCAGCTCTAATCTTTCTTTTCCTTAGGAATAGAAAACTTAGTTTAATATCATTGGATAATCCTGGATGCCAAACTATACAAAAAGTCTTATTTTTAAATATCATTTAATATAAAGGCATACTCACCATTTGGAGCTTTTTTATAACCAAAAAAAGACAAAATATCCTTTTAAAGAATAGTAGGGCTACTAACAATTGCAAATTATGAATTTCTAAATAATTTGGCAAATGTAATTTCTTAAATTACACACTAAATTCAAGATACTTAATTGGTTACTCTGCATACCTTAACAAGTTTCAAAAGCTCATAGAGATCTTCAACCTCATCACCTTCACATTTGGTGTATACTTGTCTTGTATCCAAGCTCCTTCCTCTTATGGTTCGGCGATAGAGGGGAAGAGCCATTGCTTCTGCATACAAGTCAATGGCATGGTGTCCCACTGTCTGATACATATAGCTATCCAGTTCATCAGACCCCACTGCAACAATTAAAATGGAAATAATTAGCAAAAGAGAGTGAAAAAGAAAGTGGATTTGAAAGCCCATCCAGGTTTTACTGCTTGAAGAGTAGTCGACACAGAACTTAAGAGCTTGCTATATTTCTCTGCATTTATGTAGTGAAATAAAAATGTAAGAATTGTACATTTGTCTGTAGTTGCATCTAGTTCATATCACCCCTAATAATCTCTACTGTTAATTACAAATACAAATGTATTAATACATAAATCTGTTATACCATATATGGCAAACATTTAAAGACTAATGTATCCAATAAATTTTGATTAGTTTATTCAGTTAAAGATTTTTATTACATAAATGTTTTTACACATCATTCAAGGTTATTCACGAAGTCATCTAGACTTGTAGAAAAAACCTTTCTTAATTAAATATCTACTTAGTAAGTGACAAATATTGGTAAGAAAAATTTCAGATTATTTTGGTATATTTTATATTCAGATATTCAGTACCTTATAATAAAATATGTAAATAGACATAAATTCAATATTGTTAGAGCATTAGAGCAGTTTCAAATGTGCATAGAAACATGATATCTTAAGCTAATCAATAATATAATCAGTGGTTGTCACAAGATTCCACAAATATCAATATGAGTAAAATATTCAAAACAGATGAGTCACATCAGAGCTTTGGGTGATATAAATGAACTTAGAAATATACTGGAATAGACCTTTTGATCTCGTAACCTTACTTTTCAGAAAAAGAATCATGAATATATACAAAGATTATTTGCAAAGATATTTATCACATTATTTAAAATAGACTAGAAATTATAGTATATTCATATAATAAAGTACTATGTAGCCACTAATATAATGTTGAAGAACATTTTCTAAAGTATGTTCTGTGGCATACAAATCCCATAAGATATTAATAGGTATGGGATGATAAAAAGATTTAAGGTTAAAGAAGTTTAGGAAACATGGGGATAAAAAGCGTTAAATGGATGTCTGTGGTGTAAATCTTCCTAGGCTAATATGCTTTCAGGTACTCCAATAAGAGCAGAGAATATGAACTATCTCTCAAATTTATCTACCCACAGAACACTTAAATTTAAAGGGGGTATCTGTGTTCTAAAGACATACAGGAAATGCTATTGTAGAATAATATTTAATGACATGGAAAATGTTCACAAAATGCTATTAAGTAAAAAAAAAAAAAAGAAAAGAAAAATTACAAAATAATTATTTTGACATATACCTATGTGTGTATGTATGAATATAAGCCAAACCAGTCCAGGCTTTCCATTAAATGTGAAAATTTCCTATCAAAAGGAATGAAAAATGATAGTGCAAGGATCCCTTCAACAATCAATGTGCTACCCTACTTTGGCTCACAGGTTTCTGAACTCACACATGATTAGACTGGCTTCCTTCAGAATATTACTCACATTGTTGTTATAAAGGTTTCTACTCCTGGTCCCAGTAGGAAGTAGAGAACATAGCCAAAGACCTAAAAACCTTTCGGCCTTCTCTTGTCTCAAAGTTAGACTGGATCTTTAAAAATATTCATTTTAAAGGATATTGATACAATAAAATCAATTTATTCAAAGAAATTTGGGCTTCTTGGCAAGAAACATTCTAATGTTAGCATAATAAGTAAAACATTTCACTGGCTTCAAAAACCTAGAAGATAATTTTCTTTAAGGCTCCATTTAGTCCTAACCACATTGTAACTTTGATTAATGGAAGCTACACAGCAACAATAGTGTGAGATCAAATAAAACCAAAGGCTCCCCTGTTGCCTGAAGCCACTCAATTAACATGCCACAAAAGTTCCTACTACAAATCTAAAGAGATGGTTTTGTGAATTTTATGACAAGTTCACATTATCCCCATTGATGGGTATAAATTCCTTTTCAGACCACCCATTGAAAACCCATAACTTTGCTGGACATTGCAGTCATCTCTACCAGTCATTCCTCACTAAGGTTTCTTTTATAACACTCGTAAGGGGAAAATAAGTCATTCAGTGAATTGTTCAATAATTCCCAATGTCCTGCTGATTCTCATCAAGATTAACTAAACCATCTCCATCTACCAAACCACAGCCATCTGCTTTCTTCCACAACAATTACTATTGTTTCAATTGCCTTTTTCCAGGCTTTTTACTTCAGAATATTCTAATTCCATTTACTATTAAATTTTTTCTCATTAACAATATTCTAAATAAGTGTCTCTATTGTGAGAGGTATAATTTTTATTTTTATTTTTATTGTATTTATGTATTTATATATATATTTTTTGAGACGGAGTCTCACTCTGTCGCCCAGGCTGGAGTGCAGTGGTGCAATCTCAGCTCACTGCAAGCTCCACCTCCCGGGTTCACGCCATTCTCCTGCCTCAGCCTCCCCAACAGCTGGGACTAGAGGCGCCCGCCACTATGCCCAGCTAATTTTAATATTTTCAGTAGAGATGGGGTTTCACCATGTTAGCCAGGATGGTCTTGATCTCCTGACCTTGTGATCCGCCCACCTCAGCCTCCCAAAGTGCTGGGATTACAGGTATGAGCCACCGCGCCCAGCCTTGGAGAGGTATAATTTAAAGATACACTTTGCTTGTCATTTTACCACCCTGCCAGTGAACTGTGGACACAAGGAGGATTACACATTAATGATTCTGTACCAGGTAAGTAAAATAATTCATGTGAAAGCTGAAGACAAGATAGAAACTCCAGTGATGGAAATGACAGTATACTATGTAGGTATTATATACTATATAAACATCTGCTTTTTAACTTCACAAGATAGCTTAAAAGTCCCAGTTGCCTCCTTGGCCACAGGGATAAGGGAGTTTCTTTCCTTTGGTAAACCTGACAGGAGATTCTGCTTCCTCTTTTATAATACAGAAGTTAGAGTGCAGTTCCTACTCATTCTCAAAGAATTTTCTCTTTCTTAAAGTTAGAACTTCTTTAAAAAACTTCACTTCTAAAAAACCATCTGCTACTCATCAACTGCAGCACAAAATCCAAGCATGTGCATTTACCTATGACTCTCTGCGGGACCTTTCCATTTCTTCCTATAAAATATTTCTAACCTCTGTCTCTCCACACAACTTCCAGCATTACTTACGTCTTAATCACAGAAGAAAAGAAAATTCAAATATCTGACTGAAATAACTGCTTACTATTCCAGGGCTAATTCAAATTAGTTCATTATGCAACTGTCCACCAATCAACTTTGGTTGAACTCCTACCAGAGGCATAGAGCTGTTCTAAGCAATGAGGAGCAATAAAAGGAAGATAGAAGATATGATCTCTCCTCTCAAAAAGCTTATAATCAATCTATTTAGAGATATAAAACAAGTATTTAGCTAGATTCCAATTCAGCTAAATTTACAGAATGCCTACTTCATGACAGGAACTATAACCAATGTTCTCACATATACTACTCATTTAATTAATCTTAAAATAACAGTAGTGCAAAAAGATGGAGCCTGGAAAGAAGTAAAAGAGATAATAAAAAGATCTTAGTAGAAGAGTCCTGTGAGAAGCAGTAATACAAAAGTCACACAAGTGCTAATCTTTGCTCCCTCTTACATTTTAGCAGTTAATATCTTTTAGTTTCATAGGTATAACACAAGAGCATTAAAAAGCAAATTGGTGAATATATTTCTTTTGTCAAAAGCTATAACTGGGGATATTTCATTGGGGAAAAAAATGAAAAAAGTAGCCAATATGAGGTCTGTGAATTTTATGTAGATGCCCTTGTTACTACAGACAAATGAAAAGTGGAAATGCATTGCTTTTTGCTTCTCTCAAGTCTCACATCTCTGGCTTACATCTAAAATAGGTAAACTGTATCTTTTTTTTTTTTTTTTTTTTTTTTTTTTTTTTTTTGAGACGGAGTCTCGCTGTGTCTCCCAAGCTGGAGTGCAGTGGCGCCATCTCAGCTCACTGCAAGCTCCACCTCCTGAGTTCACGCCATTCTCCTGCCTCAGCCTCCCGAGGAGCTGAGACTACAGGTGCCTAATAACATTAATATATCATTTATCAATATATGTCTTACTTCTCAAGCCCCTTGAGGCATGAGACTATATCTTATCTACCTCTATGCTGCCTACAGTACTTGGAAATGTGGTGGGGTAAAATGGCAGTGTACTTTGAAGTAAGAAGGTTCAAGTCTTAGCTCTACAAGTTTGTGCTAGTTTACTTCAGACAAACTCTAAGCTTCAGGATCCCTGTCTATTAAGATTAATAATGCATCTCTATAGAAGTTGGTTATGAGAATCAAAAAATAAGTGAAGACAATGCTAAGTTCTACGTGGAACCTAGCATCTAATGGGTGCTTAATATATATTGGTTCTTTTTTTTTCGTCTTTGTATGGTATACCTGTACAATGTAATTATGAAGTTGGAGTTTCATTCATTTAGGCAACTTCCCAATAGAGGCATGTACTTACCTTGGTTTTCAGCTGGTCTCAGATTTGCTAAAGCAACGATCTGATGCCCAGCAGCAATGCACTGCATCATATTATAGCAGCTGTCTTTCCCACCACTAAAAAATAAATCAACAGAGAGACAAATATCAAGCTACTGACCATTATTCAACATAAAATCACTAGATATCAAAACAGAACATATTATTTACTGGACTTTTCAGAATATATTACAATGCAAAAAAACCATTAATTTCTAAATCATAAACAAACTGAGCAACCTGAACGTCCAGGGCTGCTACACACAGGAGCTTAAGAAGCTCTACGCCTTTATAAAAAGAATATTCTAAATAAAATACGGTCACTTTTTGCTTTGTGATGGCAAATATATATATTTGAAGTGCTTTGCAAATAGAAAATGATTTCAATTTACATCCCAGCTAAACATTTATTATATAATTATATATTTCATATATATATTCCATCTAAAGAATATATATATAAAATAATTTCATAGAAATTATTGAAAAAGCAAAAAAAAAAAAAAAGATTCTTTATGAGAAAGTAAAAAAAATAAATTCTGCTCCACCATAAGAAATCTAAGAACTAGCTATCATCAGCAATTAAAGGACCAAATTAAAGATTTGAGTACCTATCTAATGACAAAGTTTGACACACTTGGTGGGTTCAAATTCTGCAGAGATAAAAAACAAGATGCTGACCTACACTGATGATGTGAAACATCAGCACTATCAGCACTTCAGCCATCACCACACTTACATACATACATATGTTATACACATACACATTTTATGATGGCAGCAGAACATGGCTTGAGCTATAAATCTAGTAACACATTGAAAGGAACTTCTAAATTCTGGTTCTAAATCTACCTAAGGCAGAGGCGTATCACTTAGTAAAGACAAGTAGTAGCTCATCTGTAATATGGCTGAATGGCAATCTATATGCCATTGTGGTTTAATATTCTCCTAATTCCCACTATCATTTCTCATTGCCTCTCTCCCTTTTATATTTCTTTTCCTCCTGTTTCCCTTCTTTCCAATATTTGCTTAAGGTCTGCAAATGTGCCCCCAGGCAATGTTTAGACCTCTTCATAGCTCAAGAAACTGAGGACCCCAGAAACTGGCCCTTGTTGCCTTTTATCTTAGTTTTCAACATTTTCTGCCTCTTCCACCCTCCCATCAATAACAACTCTCATTCCAAAACTTCTCAAGTGGAAGGAGAGTGCAAGGGCCAAAGTGAAGTTTTAAAAAGTCCATTCTTCCTCTCTTCAGATTCCGTATCCCTGTAAGTAGGTCTTCCACAGCTTCCCGTATCGAACCTTACTGCTCTGTTTCCCCAGGCTAAAAAGATATGACTAATTGTTTCAGATATTAAAGACTGAAGGGTGTGCATTCAGAATCAGAATTGAGTCTTACAATTCATTTTGAAATACGCTAACATTTCAAACATGGTTTTCAGTAGTATTTACCAAACTGTGTTCTGTGGAACACTGGTGTCCAACAAAATACTAACCAATTACTCTAAAAAAAGGTTTTGAATATTAGACAAGCTTGGGAAATGCAGAGTACCTTACTGTCCTCTTAGAACTCCATCAAGTACACATGTATGTTATGGGAGAGGTCTTATAGATCTATTTTAGTTTCCAATTCTGGGATACTAAGCTAAGTTATTAAATGTGCTTAGGTTTGCATACTTCATAGAAAAATTAGTGAATGGTCCGCCTGGATAATCCTCAAAACAACATTCAACTATAAAATTCAAAGACCCATTTATTTATTAGAAAAATAATGTTCCATGAGAGCACATGGACACAGGGAGGGGAACATCACACACCGGGCCCTGTGGGGGGTTGGGGCTAGGGGAGGGCTAATGTTAGGAGAAATACCTAATGTAGGTGATGGGTTGATGGATGCAGCAAACCACCATGGCACGTGTATACTTATGTAAAAAAATGCACGTTCTGCACATGTAACCCAGAACTTAAAGTATAATAAAAAAATTAATTAAAAAAGGAAAATAATGTTCTTATAAAGATATGTAAGAATCCCAGTTTCACTTATTCACTTACAATACATAATGATATATAATGCATATATATAGACTACATAGCATCTATATAAGCATATAGGTAAGTGCTTATGTATTCATACTTACAGCATATGTCCTTACAGCTCTTACACTTCAGCAAGAATTTTCCAACATTGCTTTTTTTAGCAATTTTTTTTTTTATTATAAAGCAACATATGTACATTACAGGTTATTTAGTATAACTGACTCTACCAATCTTCTCTCCTCCCCTCTAATACTTCTAAGTCTTTGGTGGTTGTGCTTTACTTTAATCATTAAACTTTTGAAAAACGATGTAAATTTGAATTATTCACTTCCTGGGGCACTTTTAATTCTAAAATGAGACACAATGGTTAAAGCCTAATCATTCATTTTACAGAGGACATTTACTGAAAAACAATAATTATTGTGACATTATGGTCTAGTCTCCTAAAAATCACACTGAAGGAAAGGGAACTGGAATATTTCAGACACTGTAGTAGATTTGAAATGTCATATCAAGTCTTTAATAGGACAATGGTTAACCAGCCAGTATCAGTTACCTAAGGGACTTAACGAAAACGTTTATGAAATCTTCAATTGGATTACAAAAGCAAACGTATCGTTGTACTGTATCTAAGACACTCTACAGGGCAAAATCTCATGAAACAAATATTTAAAGTAGTCTAAACTAACTTTTTAATGTTGTTAGTGTGTTCCCTTCCGCCTCAGTTTATAGATTGAGTATGGAAATATTTAAGCAGGTTTGGTTTTGGTTTGTCAGTCATAGGACTTACTTAGACACTTAAATTTATGATTTGGTTACTACAGACATCAAACTCCTTTTGAAATACAGAGTATACGGTAAGGTCACTCTAAAGCAATGATGAGAGTCCGAAGCAACAGCAACTGCATCTAGCATAAGACTAGTACAATCCGGTCTCTACCACGAAGAGAGATCTCTGTACTTGAGTGCCCAAAGGCAGACGCACACACATGCCATAAGCAATCCACATCTGTGAAGATGAGGGAAGGGTGGACTTCTTGGGAGGGGCGGAACCAGTTACAACTAGGGAGGAAGCCCAGGCTACGGCGGACCCAGCTGACCAAAGGGAACTACAGAAGAGGATGAAGAAAGCGAGGGGGAAAGGGCGAGGGTTATTAACTGAGTTGGCGGAACAAGGTAGTGGCTCCAAACTTCACGGCTCATTAGAGCTTGAAAAAAATCAGACACCGGGCCGCACAGAAGTAATTAAACCAATCCCTCTGGCGGCGGGGCCCAGGCGCCAGTTTTTTTGTTTTTTAATTTCCCAGTTGAATCCAATGGGAATCCAAGTTTGAGGGCTGGAAGACCAGAGAGGCAGCAACGGACGGGGAGGAGGCGCGCCAGCCCAGGACCGAGGCACATGCGGGCCGGCAATACCGAAGGCTCCGCCTCTTCCTGTGGCTCAGAGGAGCCGCGGAACCCCCAACACGCGGCTCAGGCAGAGACACCCACTCTTTCGGCGCTAGGGGCGGCTGGAAGGGACGAGAGGTTGGCCTGGGAAGAGGGAGGCGGCTCCAGCACCGCATTACCTGATCAGGGCCGCGACCCTCATGCTGAGCGCAGTGCGCGTGCGTGCGGCGGGCGCGTGCGGGGGCGGGAGCCAGGAGGTCGCCGCCGCAGCTCCCGTGACGCACCGCGGGGCCTCGCCCGGGTGTTCGCTCCGCCGCCTGTCCGCGGATCGGTGCTGCGAGCCCCGCGGCTGCCTGCAGGACACCTGAGCGCGGAGGGTGCGGCACGTTGGCACCTTGACCCTGTGACAGGAACACCTCGGCCCAGAAAAGAATGATGTTTAGGCACGGCCTAACCACCTAAGTGAGGGCACTGAAGCTGCCGGGGGAAGGGCAAGCTCCGTGTTGCAGAGCCCAAGCCCGGGGGCGCTGGATTTGTTTTGGTAAGAGGGGCTTTAGCGTCCCAAATGCTGCAAATTGACACACTTATGGACGTGCAAGCGCAGAAGAAATTTGCCCTTCTTCCCCCCATCTCCCGCAGAAACAACTGTACACTTTTGCTTTTTAACGTACATCTCCTCAGTCCTCCAAACCTGTGTCCAGATGTGAAACTGAGATCCCCAGGTGCTGAGGTAATTTTTAAATCTGCGGTTAGCCATCCCCGCCCACCTCTAGGCCCTCTGTGGCTTTGGCTCTTGGTCAAGCTTGTTATTTGACAAGGCCAGGCCGGGCTCTTCACCAAAGAGTAATGGCCTTGCAGAAAGAAAATCTAGCTTCTAAGTTTATTTGCCAAGTATGTATTGAGTGCCTTTCGTGTACCGGGCACTGTTTTAGACTCTGTGGATACAACCGCAAATAAAAACCCAGCATTCCCGGCATAGAGCTTAAATGGGGATGGAGAGAACAGACAATATATAGCTTAAAGGTAAACAGTATTATGAAGAGTGAGAAGTGCTGTTAGAAAGGGCGGGGCGGGGAGAGAGAGGAGAGAGGTGGAGAGGCAAATTGCAGAATTAAATAGTGTCTATATAGGCCTTATTGATAAAGTGAGAGTTGAGCCAACTTAAGGAGAATTAGCTGTGTATATGATTGGGGTGTGCTCCAGACAAGAAAAAGAAAAAAAAAAATCAAAGGTTCTAGGTGCGTTGTGTGTTTGTGGAAGACTAAGGCAGATCAATGTTGCTGGAGCAGACTGAGCAAAGCAGAGAGTAGTGGAGAGGAAGTTAAGGTGATGGAGGGGAAGGATTATATAGGGTCTTGTAGGTCATCACAGACTATTGAAGAGGTGTGACTTAAAATTTTAAAAGGATTGCAGTGTTGAGAATACATCTATTAGGAACCTGTTACAGTGTTCCAGTAGAGGGCGGAGCCTAGAATTGGCATGGTGAATTTGGTGAGAAGTAAATGGATTCCAGCTCTATTTTGAAGATAGAGCCAATAGAATCTGATTAGATTTGGGATATATGAGAAAGAAAGTCATGAAAGATGATGCCAAAGGCATGAATTAAGTAAGTTAATATATGTAGGGAACTTAAAATTATGCCAGGTACATAGTAAGCATTCAACTTTATTTTGATGTTCTCAACTCTAATACTCAGTATGGGTGACTATCTACATATCAGTTTCATCATCTAGAATCATGCAGCTTTAAGATTTTGCAATTATGAATATTTACCAAATGAGTCAAGTATTTAAGAAGTTTGCAGTCTATTTGGGGGAGATAAATACATGAAACACACTTTTAATGATACAGCTCCGATGAGTGGAAGAGCACCAGGGCTCTCATCTCACGCCGAATTGGATAAAATGACACAGACACACATGGAGTGGTTTTAAGGAGTGGAGAATTTAATGGGCGAGAAAGAAGGGAGAAGAAAGAAGGAAGACGCCCCCCTGTAGAGACACAGGGAGGTGGGCTCCAAAGCCTAGAGAGGAAACCCCGAGTGCCGCGTTAACAGCCGGGTATATGAGGAGGCTGGAGGAGGCAGTGTCTGATTTGCATAGCGCTCAGGGGATTGGTTTGATCAGGCATGTCATTCCCGTAGCCCACGGAAAAACTTGGCTCTCCCACCCTAGCCTTTTAGTATGCAAATGCAGGTCGCTTTGATGTTCTACAAATGTGGGGATATGTGGGGGTGGCCATGTTGCCAGGCACAAGTAGGGGCAAGGCCAAGAGGACAAGGTGGCTATCGCCATGTTTGTGTGGACTTAGTTTTTAATGGCTTGCATTTGCATATCAAAGGTTGACAGCTGGGTTCTAAGAGCGGGGGCTTTCCTGCTAGACAAGAAACACTTCTGGAGCTACTTTAAAGGAGACAAAAACTTTCCAAGGACCCCTTTTCCTCTCTATCTGCCTAAAATAATTTTTTACTAAATCCTACAGCAGTAATCCAAGAGAACATATTTTGAAAGTAACAAGTTATGTAATGCATATGGCAAGAGCCCCCTGAGTCAAACCCACAGGGTAATGCCTGGAATGAGGATGGGACTTGAAAGATGAGCAGAATTGAACCGGAATGGGTGGAACATCCAAACGAAGACAGCAAGACAAGAATGAGAGTGGTGCGTTGAACAACAGTGGGTAGACTAGCTTGACTAGTTTGGAAGGTATATGGGAAAGAAGGAAAAATAAGTTGAATAAATAGGATGAGGCCAGGTTATCCAGGGTCATGGAAAACCAAAATGAGGAATTTCAAAACCAGGCAGGTTCCTGTGGCTACTTGACATCATTTTTCAGGAGATTGTGTGAAATAGCAGTAATGAACATGATGAGTGATTTTGATAAAATAGGCACTCCCGAAGATGCCAATGGATATCTTTTCCACCAAGGGGTATCTTTTCCTTGCCACTTCCCAAGAGGGATAAAGAGAGAAGATTCAAAGGTTACCTTCCCAAAACTACATCTTTAGGATTGTATTTTGTTTCTCTCTGCACTCTGTATGCTTCATTGTAAGACATCCTCAACAAACAGTGTGTATATCCTGGTATTAAACTGTATGTTATATACAGTGTGTATATCCTGGCATGAAACTGTATGTTAGGAAATATGTTGAGGCCATTCCTCCAAGGTCACCCAGTTATTAGCTTGATGGTGTTGCTTTCCCCCTGGATTCTTCCTAGCACCTTGTATTAAGTATCTCTTCTCCAGGTCCTTTTTACCCCTTGAACAAAATTTCTCTCAGCACCTATTCCCTCCTTTTAAAACTTTCTACCAGAATTATTTAAATTAACGAATGTTTCCGGTTGCCTAATGTAACACTGCAACATGTGCTTTATTAAAAATTTTTATATTTCCTCACATTAGTGCCTTTCTCTCAGAATTACAATACAAGGCTCTGTGCTTGAATGTCCTATCAAGGCCACCATAAAAATGGTAGGTTCGATTCATTCTGGTTCAATAGACATATTGGTATTTCTGAAATTAACAGATGTCTGATTGGTCTTGACCCAGCCATCAAAGTTATTCTTAGATTCATACATATTTTTGAAGGTTTTTTTTTTTTTTTCATAGCTAACTGAACAAAACCAGGGCAATTATTGGCCCCTGAAAAACTTGTTAAAAACTAGAGATTTGGCTATGCTCTAACTTTTCCCATTGAGAATCTTTCTTATTTCATTCTAGTCACCGTTGTGGGTGTCATTTTCTTTTGCCGAAATTTAAAAACAACACCCAGTTTGTCAGCTACAGGTTTCTGAGAAGCAGATGCCAAGACGGGATTACATGTGCAGGAGATTAGAGAAAATGCCTGTGAAGGACAAAGAGAGACCAGCAAGAGAAGGCAGGGAGACTCCCATTGGAATGCAGGGGGGTGGCAATCTGAAAAAGAATGGGAAGGAAGAATAGGTTGAAAGAACCTATTTGCAGTGTCATTCTGAGAGACTCAGCCAGGTCAATGGGGAGTCCTAAGCCAAAGTTGTTCATTAGAGGAATTCCAAATTGGTCAGGAATTGCCCAGTTCTAGTATCTCTGCCGTGCTCAGTCATTGTCTGAGAGCAGTGCAGGAAAAACTTAGTCTGGTGCAAACTCAGTGGTGAATCCAAAAGTGCAGTAGATGGAGACTGTAAGTCAGTTCATAATAACGTTCATGGTGTCGCTTCATGATTTCTGTCAACCTCTCTAGGATAAACTTAGGGAAGGGAAGTTAATAGGACAAACTCTCATCACAGGTGGTCTGGGACCACACTAGTACTTACCCTGTCCTCCACTCTCCACTCTATATTCCCCTCACTCTCAGCTCTCACTTCAGCAGATCTTGTTGACTTACTTGGTGGCATGACCTAAACTTCACTCCTAAGTGGTCTTGGGCTTTTGTCGTCATACTCTGCTCAGTCCGTGACTGCAGTTTGTGTCCATTCACAGTTAGAATTAGGTAAGGGCATACCAAGAGGCACCCAAGTGGATCGTCTGAGTTCCACATGTGTATTTCTCCTTGTCCCCAGGTTGTAAAGGTGGCCCCACTTCCTCATACTAATCAATCATCCTTGCTTGCTGGCCCCTGGCTGCAAAGAGCCAAAAGTGTCATACCGTACATAACTTACAGTTCAATGGATGCCCGCTCTACCCCGTTGCAAGAGAGAAAACCTGTAATTCTACTCAACCCAGAGTTGGGGGAGGTGAAGCACAGAGTTCTCCAGTGCGTTGTTAGGAGTGATTGTAAATATAGCCATTTGTGATTTCACCTTTTGGTTCCTAGATCCATGTATTTGTCCTACTAGAGACACAGTGTCATATAGAAATCTCTGATTAGTACCTATACTAAATACTGAGAGATGTCATGCCATCCTTGCAGATTATTGTCTCTGAGCTGCTGATTTAGCTGTGACTTAAGTAGGCTTTTCCAGTACTCTATGAGGCCAACTTCACCTAAATAGTACAATATATGATAAAACAATTAGACCCCATGGTCATGGCCTACCTGTACCTCCTTTACTATAAAGTAAGTTTTCTTGTGAATACCCTGCTAGGTGGGATTCTGTGACTAGAGAGGCGTTCTGCTAGTGGTGCCAGCTAAATCTTTGCAGACAGGAAAGGCCAGGTTCTAGTACCTGCTCAATCAAAGCCCGGAAGCAGCCAGGGGAAGCGTGGCTTGTCATGAACTCCACAGTGGATCCAAAGGTGTGGCAGTTGAAGGCTGTCAGTCAGCTGCGCTCTCCACAGCAGGTGCTGTGGAACCTGTAAGGCTGCCAGAGCAAGACAGTGACTCTTACAAAATCATATGAGATGTGGGAACATTTGGAGTGCCCTGCTAGAGTAAGAAATGTAGGATAAAGAGTTAATTCAAATTTAGAATAGTACTTGAAGGAGAACCAACCTAAAATTGTGAAAGTCTAAATTATAAACAATACTATTTTTAAGGAAATGCCTTAATTTACTTCCAAACAAATACTCTAATCTTGAGCATACTAACATACTGATATTGAATCCTGGCTAAGTGTTTTTACT